ATAACACAATTTACGTTCGTTTATAGCACGTGAAGACGCTTGTTTATGATTTATAGTGGGAGAATCGGAGTGTTTTAAACTGCTATATTTAGCACTTCTTTAGTTTCGTAATGGCAACAACGACAATGTTCCAAGATGTCAGCGCTTTGGTGGTTACAGCTTTCCCGACTTTTCCTCCAGAGTCTGTATATGAACTTTATGCTCCGCACCCTAGTTTCCGGTCACGTGACAGGGCACATCGAATAATTGAAGTTTCAGCCACCAGGTGGCGCCACAGGCCTTTACGATTTTCGATGAAGAAATAAAAATATGGCTCCACTTCTCGTGTTGAAAACAGAGTTTGTTTGAGCCCCTATGACCAACAATCTTTTCATCCGTGCAGTCATTTCATTTCATGTTCTGGGCAGTTGACGGTCTTTAAAGGGACACTAAAGGCAGACATTAAGTTGTCGTCGATGGCTGAAACAGCGATCCAGAAACCTCGTAACGCTGCTTTTGTACTGAGGATATGGTTACTTTGAAATAAAATTAGTACAAAGAGTGTGCGAATATTCTAAAGTTTCGAATACTGCATTTGTGATATTTGTATTCGATTCGATAACCATATATTAGAAAATTACCAACCACGCCGTCCGCTGCCGCGCCCTTGTGCGCTGGACCGCAAGTGCGTACCACTTGTGAAAAAAAAGGCAATTCACCGCTGCCACATTGGCTCGGCAAAATAGTTTTGACATCTTTGCTTGGTCCTGTGCTGATCGAGCATGAAGAAAAAAAAACATCTGTTCGCAAGGGCAAATACACGCGTATGCGTTACAGGGCGCGGCGCGCGCTCAGTTTGATGTACGATGGTAACGCAGTTCATGTATAGCCACGGCAGTTTTTGCTAATAAAAATTTGTTCATCCATCCATCCATGTCAAAGCCTGACGAGTTGTCCGTGAGCTGTGCCGCTACTTCAGCATGTATACTCTCTTCATAGTTCCGGAATGATTTCATGGTAGCGAATATGGTCATGCGAATGAGCTGAAGTGTTTTCACCGCAATGGCAAACATACAAAAGGCCATACACTTTTGGTAACATTACAATGGCGTTATCACGTATAGTTCTCCGTTGCTATGGCGGCGCACGTAAGGTGACGGACGAATTAATGTGTAGTTCCGCTGCATTCCGGACAGCGCCTTTGAAAATCCGTTGTACGCACATCACGCACCAGCGGCAACGTCTCCTGCAATCAACCGTTACTGCGATCATGCTGTTTTGCCAACGCCAGTTTACTGCCGTCAGCAGCCAGTGCGCTGACGAGGGTTGCGATGCGGCAAAATAGTGGCCTTGCTCCCGGGAGTTGTGGCTCCATTAACAAAAAGGTGTATTCGGGGTATCTTTCTATCACACATCACTAATTATATATCTCGCGCAATTACCTCACATTACCGCTGCGTGCCCGGTGCACCTCGGTCACAATCGTGCAGCTATGAGTGCAACACAGCATTCTTGATCGGAAAATGGCGAGCGCACAGTTTTCGAGAAAGGCAACGGAAGCAAGCGAGATAACGAGTATTGCTGTGTAGTTGAAAAATACCCCAAGTACCCCTTTTTTCCTTAGTGGCTGGACTGGTGAGAACAGGGGAGAAAATTAAAAAGAAAACTATCAAATCGGGGGTCTTTTGAGCCAAAATTGAGTGTAGGAACCGGGCTCAACTGTGACCACCCAGGCTGCTTTAATAATTGCTTAGACTTAAGTACACAACATTAACTGTCGAACAATCAAACCGGTGGCCTCATGCTCACTAGTCATCATGATAGGTATGAAAACTTTTTTTAATAAAGTGCTACCACAGAAAAAAAGATACAAAAGGTTTCTTCAACATCTGGATTGAACCCAAGACATCACAGTCACAAGCTCAACTAATACAGTCTTATGCTTTTTGGCAAGTATACATTTTTCTTTTGAATTTTTGTGCACAATAACTTACTAGTACAATAACAACTGTGCTGTTTCCAACAAAAATATATAATTGAGTAATAATTATTGGTGGAAAAAAATTGCACCTCCTCATTATTCGATTTGTATTCGACGCTATGTATTTGTATTCGATTCATATTCGAAAATTTGGTTATTCGCACACCCCTAAAAATTACGTTTTAGTGGTCCACACAGCGTTAGCACACTTCAAATCACCTGCCTGAAAATGAGCCTTTCTAGATGTAGCAGTTGCCTTGCTGAACGTTGCTCGCCTCATTTACTGCGCGGACGCTGACATACGCAAAGGGTTGTAGAAATTCAGGGTAACTGGACGATGGTGTCAACATCTTGTGATGCTTTGTGCAATCACAGTCATTGACACGTTTGTATTTTCCTAACATTTTCAATATAAACATTATTTAAAAAGCAACTTATTCGCAATTATGCTGTTGCAACGCATTCACACTACAAATAAAATGCACAATGTTTCTGCAATAAAAATAAAGTGCTGGCCTGGTTATGGCTGGATAAGTGGGGCCCGCTTTACGGCACCATCTAACTTCGCGAAAACAGAACTTTTAAACCAATCACCCCAACCCACATGGTAACGCGAAGCAGTCATTTTCTTCTTCAATCAAATATAAATGGACAAACAGCATTTTATTACATGTTGTAATGCACGGAAGGTTATTTTTTTAAATTAAAACTGGTTTGATTACTAGTGAAGAATTGCAGTCGGATCTTTTGACATTATTGGGACCATTTAAAAATGTCCCACTTGTGGCGTGTGCGGTGTAATACATGTAGAGCTCTGCTGTTCATAATAATGATGTTTTAGAGATTCAAACCACTGACCTTCGCTCCGATGGACATTGTCATTTGCCTTCAGTGTTCCTTTAAAGTTCACCTTTCGTGCTCTCATTATCAACGTTACTAGATACTTTGTCAAACTCCGCTGCGGCGCGTGACGCTTTTCCATTGAGCGCCGTGTGGGGGCGCGCGCGACACGATTGGCCCGGTTCGGTGAGAGGTGCAACGGCGAAGGAACCGGCCTGGGAGCGCAGAAGGCGACCGCATCGTTCTGCTCGAGTTGTTGTGCGCGTTTGCTTTTGTTTTCCGTGTATAGACGTAAAATGTCGATGACTGCTGTGACTGTGTAGTGAGAAGCAATGCCCCGTTGCTTTGTGACCGGCTGCAAAAGCGGCTACGACTCTGCGAAGAGCGCAGCTGAGAAGAGACACTTTTTCAAACCGCCCAACGAAACTTCGAGGCTTCAAGAATGGCAACACGCGATCCCAAGGAGCGACAGGGAGCTCACGAGCTGTTGTGTTGTGTGCGACCTTCACTTTCAGGAAGCAGACCTTGTGAAAAACTTCGTGCACAACATCCGCGGTGACGTCGTCGTCATACCGCGAGACAAGTGGAGCCTCAAAGATGATGCCGTACCCCGCTTGTTTCCCAACTGTCCGAAATATCTTTCGAAGCCTTTGCGGAAACGCAAAGCTCCTGCCGTGAGGTCACCCCTCCAACCGAAGCGTCGGAATGTTCAGGACGACGCCGAACAAGAAAACACAGCGCCGAACACCTTTGACTATGGGGAGAGAGACGGCTCTGTGTCAGGCAGCGTCACACTCGATAGTACCCAGTCCTTGTTCGAGGAGCTATCGACAATGGCGCAAAAGGGACAGCGGCTGCAAGGCTGGTCGACTGAACTCGTTGATTCTGTTGTCGTCCAAGGACGCCCACCAAGAAGAGAAAGTCCGCCTGCATGACATAGTGGAAGCCAAAATGATGGAAATTACAACTGCTTCTGCTGACACATCTGAGCAAGGGCCAAGTGACCACGCCTATTTCAAGGGTGAGGTGGAGGACAGTGCTGTGTACTACCTGTGTGGCTATGTCATACACAAGTTCACAAAGCGTGCAACATGCCATCTCTGCATAGAGGACATCACCTCCGCCACACCTGTGCTTGCTTCTGACAGCTACCTAACAGACTACAGGAGCTTCAAGCAAGGCAACTTAAAGCATCCAACACAGAAGATGTTGTCGTTTTTTAAAATAGTCAGCAAAGTAGTTTCAGCTTGTCTGGACAAGGAGGATTTCTGCGGGGACATATTTTGGAAAGTGTTGGAAGAGTTGGAGAAGCACCACCTTTCTCGACTCGGCTGTGACCAGCACAATTCAGCATTCACGTTCCAACTGCTGAACTTTTTTATCATCACCCGCATGCATTTCTTCTCGCGGGATGTGAACCGCCGCCTCGGAAACAGCCAAAAAGTGGCAATAGCGAACAAAAAGGCCCGCCTGCTGTGAGCAATCACGCAGCAGCCGAATAAGGTTCTTTGAATGTGTGTACGTTTGTGTTTTAAGTGTGTGCTGGCGCGTTACTTTGGCTCTTTGGATATGTGAAGCACTCCTGCTTGTGCGTAAAATAAATGTTTGTCAGGGCGTGCATACATTTCGTCGGCGTCCGCTGCTGAGCTAGGAGCCGGGCTGCTGCAAAGGTGAGTACGAGCGCTTTGAGTTGACGTTTTTCTCTTGTCCTCGCCGGTAGTTCGCGCTTTCAAGAAGCAACTTGTTATACCAACTGCCACAAGCAACCACGCGTGCGAGTGGGCGTGATAGTGTGCGAAAATAATCTAGCTGTTACGAACCAACCTGCTGACGCACGTTCGCGATACGCGGTGCTTTCTTTATCGAAAGTTCGCGAGCAATACAAGCCGCCCAGTCTGCATTTTCCGGTTTTCTGTATAATAGCAGGCAACTTGCCTCAAACAGAAAAAAAATGTTAGCCGAAAAAGCATGCAGAACCTATGAACAGCACCCGCTACTGCGCTGAACTGCAGGGGAAAGTTGCCTGTTCAGCTGCGCGCCGACGCGCTCGATCGGGCCGACCGTGGCGCGAGCGCCCCTGGCGGCAGTAAACAGAGAGGGGTCAAGTTTGTGCGGCGGTCCAGGCGGAGTTTGACAACTGGAAAAGTATCTAGTAACGTTGCTCATTATTTTGGCAAAGCCAGGGCACTCATCGTGGGTGTTCTTCAATGCATTTTAAGACAGAATCATGGAGCTTCTGGACCAAAAAGGTTTGAAAAGACAAAACTTGCCTAAAAAAATTACTAAACGCATGTTTAGAACAAGAATGTTTCAATTATGAGAATAATGATTTGGCGCAACATCAAATATTGCCATTGCGTGTAGACACATTGCTGCAGTGTAGCTGATAAAAGCTACTATAGTCCCTTTGCCCCTTCTCCCAGTAATCCCTTCTAAAACATGAAATCCAAGATGAAATAAGACAAGCTAGGCCATAACCAACACAATACATAATCCAGACATTACTGCAAATCCAAAGAAAAGTTCTCGATATGAACAAATGAAATAGTAGGAGCAACTGATTAGTTTACTTACACTTTAACATTTTCTGCATTCGCATTGAACTGTAATGTTCACTAATATAATCTACAGACTACTGGCACTAACTAGTTAAAGCTTATAGTTATGTTACAACAGAGCCAATTTACCTTATCATATTTATCTGTAATAGAAGTAACACATATTTATCTTCAATATATGCAAGTCGATGATAAAAAAAAATGTTTTCATAGTGCTGCTCACAGAAAGTGAATGCATACACCTATACTGATGCTCTTCAGAGAACGTAATTTTCAAACCAACAATGTATAAACAAAAGCCACTGAGATACAACACACTGTCCTTTAAAAACAAGTTCTAGGATGAGCTGATTACTTAAAGAACTTTTGTTCAATTCTGCAACAAATTTAGTGAACTTATATGCAAACCTTCAAATAATAAAATCTCTCAGTCCCTACATCTTTATTTTTACATGAACAACAGATGAAGTAAGAGGTCCCATAATCTTCTTGGCAAATGTTTCAACTAACTTCCAAGAGCCATTTTGTCTCTCTTGCTGTCCTAATATCAGCACAGATGGGAAAATTAACATTATGTCTGCTCAATGTGGCCAAGAATCAGTACCACAAAATGGTTGGAGGAACTATCTACAAAAGGGCAAGAAATATTTGTTCCCCACCGGCAGCTATTGCACAGTTGATGCATGTCCCAGTGTCTTGCGAATTATAGCTGATTTCCTTGGCTTGTAATGGCTATTCATGAACACACCTATGTGAGGTTAGGTCAAATGCAAAAATGAAGTTTTCACAAAACAGCTTTTAGTACTGCTGGTGTTTAGAATACCATAATATTGGTGCTGTTCATGCATAACTACATAATGAAAGGGTTGAATAGAGAAGATGTAATTTGGGGAAAACGAAGTAGAACAAACCTCCACATGAAGCCAACTTTCAAGTGAGCGAAACATCTACAAAATCTGAACGCTATATAATTGAATACTTCTTTTCCATTAATGAAACAACTGCTGCAAATATAAAAAAACTATTGTGCATTGTTAAGTTAAGGAGAGTTTTCACAGAGGTGCTTCATTATGAAATGGCTATGTTTATGTGGCAGTATGCCTTGGCTGGTTCACACAGGCCCATGATGAAGTCACATCTTAGCCAGACGAGAAAAGGTTTTTCTGCCAGCCAAGAAAGCTCAGCTGAGCATGCACTGTTTACGGTAGTCCAAAATTCACTCTCGTACCCGCATATTAGCTTCTAAAATATCACATAACGTCTAATTTAGTTTCACAGGCCTATGCCATCACGTACCTAGATGAGAACCCATTTTCTGCGACGAAGAAACCAAAGAGGAAACTGTTTATGGCCGCCTAAATCTGGCTCCCGTACAAGTACTAAATGATCATATGATATCACACTGTAACGACTAATTCAGCTTCTTATCAGCAAATCATACTTTCAAACGGTAAATGAAATCCACATACATGCTTGGTAAATCACACTGGCCTGATAATGAACATTACTGGTTAAAAAAAAAGAAATGATATGACAGTTCAGCCAGTCATATCTACTGTGCATCACAAAATTTTGGCTGTGCCCATGCCTTAGCAGCAAGGATATTACTTGCAATTTCATAATGCTGAGCTCACCAGTAAAGATATAGATACGTCGAATTGCCTAACTGCAAGCAGCACTGAATTATGTGCATGCCACTGAGGCGAGAGGCCCGCCTCTGATGGAGATGGCCTCCTCAAGCATAGGCACACTGAACTGATGAGTTCTGGCCACTCAGGTTTGACTGTGGTGTCTTTGTGCTCTTGAGGTGCAAGTCCTTGGCTGCGCAGTGCAGCTTCTCAATGAAGTCTGGCACACCCGAGGCTGCCATCCAGCTGTAAATCGGCCCCGGAAACGAGGACCGGGGGTCATCGTAGTACGACAGCAAAAAGTCAAAACCATCCTGAAATGAACAGAATTCGTAGCTATGTTAGATTAGCAGGGTGCCAGAAGATCAAGCATTTTACATACTGCACTACATGTCTAGACCCCATGGAAATTAAGACTTTGCATATCAGGTCCTCCACAATACAAAACTTTTCAGTTCGATGTTGAAGACAAAAGTGTGCATCGTTTATAGTACGTAATACAGTTGAACCCCTATATAATAGACACTGATATTAGAGACAACTAGTTAGGACACTGCTGTGCCAAAAATCAAAAAAGTAGTTGACCACACAATGAGGATGTGGTAACTAAAGCCCCTTGATCTTAGGAAAGTACTGCCATCTACGGTACTTGCCGCCGCTCGCGCGACCTCCTCTCTCCCTCCTTGCCCCTTTCGAATCCTCCCGTTCTATGCAGCTGTTTCTCCACAATGATTGGTCTCCTTCGCGGTTGCGCATGGAAACACGCAACTAATGCACTGTGCTGATATTTTTCTTTTTCGCTTGCACCATTTACCACCAGGGTGCACGCAGCTTGCGTAACGGACATTGCGCACCCTTTTGTTTTCTGCGCTGTTTGCTGGTGCTATGCCGTAAGCTTGCCCCCATAACTGATGCAACCTGTATATATATGGCCATGATCCTTTTTACGATACCCAAGGTAAGCACGATAGCTTTCGTAAGAAGCAGTTGCTGCAGTACATCGGCCGAAAGAACTTCGTTTTATCAAAGAACATGTTCTTTGAGAGTTACGGCACTTTTCTTACTACTTGTACGAAAGCGTCTCCGAATGCTGTATGTATTTTGAGTATTCTTCCTGCCTGATCAATATAGTTTCTGTTTTGTGGCTAATGGTGCGTTCCATAAAAATAGGATTCTTCTGAATGTGCTAAATATTCCGTCGAGCCTATATCAACTGTTATTTACTCTCAAATAAACTACAGAAACTGCTTTCTGCAGCGAACAGTTACCTGCTATAACACAGCTTCTTCATCGCGCTTATTGTGATTAAGAACCATTGTATTAAGAACCATTGAAAATGAATGTGAAAAAAAAAAAAAATAAGTGAATGAACGAATAGATCGAGGTGACAGTGACGATGGTCACCAGATGAGGTTCTTTTTCATGAATGTGGAAAGGGGGGGGGGTATTCACACCGAAAATAATGACACAAGGGCGATCCGGTGCTAGAAAAAAGAAAAACAAGCCCTGCCGGAAAAAAAATGTAAAAGAAAACAATAACCGCCTGATACGCAGCAAAATGAGCTGCTATGTCATGTGGCGTAAGTCACATCACGTGACGGCACTGTGACGTTATGACAACAGAAATTTTACAACATGCGATGCCGTCATGCCATCATACGGTGATGCCATCTCGTGATGATAATTTTGTGCATCACCTGTTCCCGACGACGCAAGACACCTTCGACGTGGGACACTGACAGTCATATTTCGCCTTTGATGAGGCATCTAAGGCTTTCGTCCTAACAGTAAGCACACCCATGATATTGCATATGAGCAGCATCAGCTGGCAAAATCGAGTTTTTTTTTTTTTTCAGTTAATCAATATGCATTTGAATTTGGATGTCACGTGTGCATGATTGAATGTCGATTATTATTTGGCTTTCTCGTGCATAAGGGTGATGTGTAAAGGGTGTTCACCTGATCGTACTCGCTTTCTGGTAATATTAACTTCGAGACAAAGGTCTAAAATTATCGCTCACAACGTGAGTGCTTCAAGATCACCTTTCTGCGAATTTTCGGAGACCTTTTTATATTGATTAAAGGGCCCCTAAACCACCCAGTGGTTTAAATTTAGTTCAGGTAAGGAAGTTGTGCTCGAGTTTACAACAAACACGTAGCCGTGAGAATTTTTGAAACGGTGCCGTAATAGCGGAGTCACACTCGTTTGATCGAAATGTGACGATCGCTTCTTTCCTTCTTTTCTACGCTACTCTCTTCCAAAACTGCTTGGCCCCTCCTCGCTGAGTCAGCTGAGTGCCCCTCCTCATCTCGCACGGCATACCACACCACTGACCCGCTGTTCGAGACAGAGTCTACTTCCGGTTGCCGCGATCTGCCACTCTGACGGCCCAGCTCTTGCCGCGATCTGCCACTCCGACGGCCCAGCTCGCCGTCAAGTGTGTTGTGTGTCATCTGGATGCACTGATTGTTGACTAACCGCTGTTGCTGTCGTGCCAGCCCGTGCCCCTACGAATCGTGCTGGTATGGACCCTGTGTTGCGTCACGGGCCGCAGATGTCGATTCGCAAGCGGCAACACAACCAAGAACAGCAAGGTGCGCGAGAACAGCTGTTTCCAGAATGATTGGAAGTCGTCGGTTGTCGTTCGGCCAATTGCAAGCATCAAAAGTCGTAACGTCATTGAGTTTCACTGGTGATGTCACCATAGCTCGGCATACTCACTCATGAGTACACTGACTCACACTCATTCATACTCATTTGAATGTGGTGAGTGTGAGTATGAGTGAGTACTGATGAGTATGAGTGGGAGTGAGTAGAACGTGAGTGAGTACTCATGAGTATGAGTAGTTTCAGTGTGAGTAGAAGTGAGTATGAACGTGAGTGGGTGCTCATGAGTGTCAGTAAGAGTGAGTATAAACGTGAATGAGTATTCTGAGTGTGAATAGGAGTCAGTATAAATGTGAGTGACTACTCTGACTGTGAGTATGAGTGAGTATAAACGTGAGTGAGTACTCATCAGTGTGAGTGTCCGTGAGTATGAACGTGAGTGAGTATTCATCAGTGTGAGTAGGAATGAGTGAGAGCTTGTGAGTGTGAGTAGGAGTGAGTATGAACGTGAGTGAGTACTCTGAGTGTGAGAAGGAAAGAGTATGAACGTGAGTGAGTAGGAGTTTGAACATGAGTGAGTACTGATGAGTGTGAGTATTCGTTAGTATGAACGTGAGTGAGTATTCATGAGTGTGATTAGAAGTGAGTGAGAGCTCATGAATGTAAGTAGGAGTAAGTACGAACGTGGGCGAGTACTCATGAGTGTGAGTAGACTTGACTGCGAAGGTGAGTGAGTTGCTGTGAGTGTAAGTAGCAACGAGTAGGAACATGAGAAAGCTACTATGAGTGTGATAAATATTTGTAAACATCGCAATGGCGTCCTCAATACATTGGAAATAACGGGCACTATGGCATGCAACTTACTGTACGTAAAAGCCTTCAGTTAGTTTGGAAACTGGGGGAGCCATCCAACATTAGATGGGGGTGGGGGGGGCGAGGTGACTGCGCAAAACTCGAGTTGAAGGTAGCCGTCCATTTTATTGTAATTAGAATTTTCTAGGCTGAATAACTTTGAACTGCCTGTCCCTATAGCTACCGTTCTTGCTGCACTTACCTCTTGCGCCTTCAGTCTACGCAACCTGCTGATAATACATGTAAAACAAGGTCTTGAGAAGCCCTTTAAGAAAAATCGCCGCGCGAGCCGGTTCAGAAAAAAAGAAATGCACTGCACAAGCGACAAAAAAAAAAAAAAAAAACAAAAAAAAAAAAAACGCTGAAATGGCCCGCTAGAGAAAGCACATTGTGTGCGCGACGCACATTGTGTGCAGCAATTTTGCAGTTTCTATCTCTGCGTTGACCCTCAAGTGAAGGTTGCCTTGAACGAAAACCTTAAGTTATCTCATGACCTCTCAAACGCGAAGCTGTGTGCAAACTTCGCCTTCTCAGTGCCCCATTAAGAAAAAAAAAAGGAAAGCTTGGAGGACGGTTGAGCTTCGCCGTCAATAGTATAGTATGCAATAGCGTAATCAGACCCTGTTCGCATCGCCGTTTCAATCTCTACCCTCACTTCAGTTTTCGGCGGCTTATTATGCTTTCAACAGTGCAGACACAATGTGCAATAAGCGCCCAATCACCCTTGATAATTTATTCTATCATTCACATAACGTGGGCTAATACAAAAACACACATAACGCAACTCGTTAATTACAGTTTTATTCGGCTGTCCGCGATAACCCTGCGTACGTACACTGCCAATAAACGTTAACCGCGTCCGCAGATCCATAAATAAGGCCCCCTGCAATCGTCAGTGCCGGCACGAAGCCAACGAAGTCTCCGCGTGAGCGCGACCCACAGAGGAAGGAAAACATCTCTGAAGATGCGCACAATTTCTCAAATGCAAAACTGCCGTACGCAACGCATTCCATCTGTAGGCGAGGCAGAGAGGGGAGGCGCCGCCTCGACGGTCGCGCCGGGCCACAGAACACCTACCAGTGGCCGGGCGGCCAGGGTGGCCGCGGCGCCCGCCTGTCACGCTAGTGCTAACAGAAGGGGGTAGGGGCAGTGGAACGAACAAAGCGGCCGAGCCAGATGGCGCGGCAACGTCTTGGGTTCTGGCGGGTAATAGCGGCGGTCGTGTAGTATACTGAAGCCGTCGAGAGCGTCTCTATTTCGCGCACGTGCGTCGTAGCCTACGAAAGCGCGTTTTGAGTGCTTGTAACACGTTACTGAGACTCTAAATGATGTCTCAGCGTCTCCTACGCGTCATAGCACACAAATGAATGTGCAGGTGCGTCGTAATTGTGCTGAGTCATTGCCTGTTTGTGGAACCTACCGACCCTTAAAGAAAGCGACAATTGTTCCGCTCCATTGTTTATTGAGCAACCTGAGTACACGTAACGCTACCTCAATGTTAATATTCATCATCGGCCTGACAACGTCCACTGCAGGACAAAGGCCTCTCCCATGATCCGCCACTCAACCCGGTCCTGTGCTTGCTGCTGCCATTATGTACCCACGAACTTCATAATCTCATCTGCCCACCTAACTTACTGTCTCCCCCTAACCCGTTTGCTTTCTCTGGAAATCCGGTCGGTTATGCTTAATGACCAGCTGTTATCCTGTCTACGCACTACATGCCCGGCCCATGTCCATTTCTTCTTCTTGATTTCAACTATGATATCCTTAACCCCGGTTTGTTCCCTGATCCACTCTGCTCTCTTCTCGACTCTTAAGGTTACAACCACTATTTTCCTTTCCATCGCTCTC